ATGGATGAGAACACTTGTAAACGATAGTGAATGGGATTGGGGTACTTGTAAACGATAATGAATGGGATTGGGGTACTTGTAAACGATAGTGAATGGATGGGAGTACTTGTAAACGATAGAACAAGGGATAGGAATACTTGTAAACGATAGTGAATGGATGGGGATACTTGTAAACGATAGTGAATGGATGGGAATACTTGTAAACGATAGTGAATGGATGGGAATACTTGTAAACGATAGAACAAGATACAAAGGTAGGAATACTTGTAAACGATAGAACAAGGAATAGAAATACTTGTAAACGATAGAACAATAGATAGAAAGGGATAGGAATACTTGTAAACGATAGAACAAGGGATAGGAATACTTGTAAACGATAGAACAAGGGATAGGAATACTTGTAAACGATAGAACAAGGGATAGGAATACTTGTAAACGATAGAACAAGGGATAGGAATACTTGTAAACGATAGTGAATGGACGGGGATACTTGTAAACGATAGAACAATGGATAGGAATACTTGTAAACGATAGAACAAGGGATAGGAATACTTGTAAACGATAGTGAATGGACGGGGATACTTGTAAACGATAGAACAATGGATAGGAATGCTTGTAAACGATAGAACAAGGGATGGGAATACTTGTAAACGATAGAACAAGGGATAGGAATACTTGTAGGAATACTTGTAAACGATAGAACAAGGGATAGGAATACTTGAAAACGATAGAACAAGGGACAGAAATACTTGTAAACGATAGTGAATGGATAGGGATACTTGTAAACGATAGTGAATGGATGGGAATACTTGTAAACGATAGAACAAGGGATAGGAATACTTGTAAACGATAGAACAAGGGATAGGAATACTTGTAAACGATAGTGAATGGATGGGGATACTTGTAAACGATAGAACAAGGGACAGGAATACTTGTAAACGATAGAACAAGGGATGGGAATACTTGTAAACGATAGTGAATGGATAGGAATACTTGTAAACGATAGAACAAGGGATAGGAATACTTGTAAACGATAGTGAATGGATGGGGGTACTTGTAAACGATAGTGGATGGATGGGAATACTTGTAAACGATAGAACAAGGGATAGGAATACTTGTAAACGATAGTGAATGGATGGGAATACTTGTAAACGATAGAACAAGGGATAGGAATACTTGTAAACGATAGAACAAGGGATATGAATACTTGTGAACGATAGTGAATGGATGGGAATACTTGTAAACGATAGAACAAGGGATAGGAATACTTGTAAACGATAGTGAATGGATGGGGATACTTGTAAACGATAGTGAATGGATGGGAATACTTGTAAACGATAGAACAAGGGATATGAATACTTGTAAACGATAGAACAAGGGATAGGAATACTTGTAAACAATATCAGAATGGATGGAGTACTCGTAAACGATAGCATAGTACTTGTAAAACAACTGTATCACTTAAGAAGAACCTTCAAGCAACGGCAAAAGTTTTGAAGAAAATGTTAATGGCAATACAAGTGTTGAAAAAACTGTAATCGTAATATTACTTCTACACAGCAGCAAAAGATAGAGTTTAGTAAACAAATGGGTAAGTGCAACCGTGGCGAATGTATCACAAAAATATTATCAACAACAAAATTTAAAACATGCTTATCGACCATTGTTTACACGGCGGGTGAAACAAAGACGCTCACCAGTCTGCAACACCTGGTCGTTCCTCCCTTGTACAAGATTTTGTTGAAATTTTGATACTTTTGTTGTTGGTGTTATATCGAATATATCGTTTGTGAAAATCATGTTTTAGAAAAATATGAACATACTCGAGCTAATCTCTCTTCTTCTGTCAAGATAAAAAGACAAGTACATTTAAGAGGTTACACGTTTCCGTTGAGGACCCCACAGCTAAATACATCTTTTAAAAATGGTTTGATCGACATGTGTATGGACCAAAGCCAACACATTATACATTGACGAAGTACCTTCGGAAGTCGCGGGGCAACAGTGAACTCACACGTAGGACAGGTTCGTATTTACAAAGATTTAAGATAAAAGGTTGTGACTGGAGAAAAAATGTCTTTAAAGCAGGTATTTTTATTTCCCGAATATCCATTACCTGATATATGAAGGCCAACACCCATCAAAAGTCCTATTACTGACGGACAAAACACGTTTTTATTCGCGTTTAAATATCGTCACATAACCGATTTCTTTTTAAACTGTAAACATCAATTCTATTTCCTATCTGTATGTAGCTGTCTAGATTCTAATACAACTTTCGTACATATTTTAATATTTTTTTACAATCGGACCTTGGTACGGGAAGCACTTGTTATTATCCTTGTCATAAACAATCAAAAGCAAAGCACAGAATTGAAGTCTGGTAAAAGCTTTATAGAATATCGGTATGACATTAATTTTACGTAACAATGGCGGTCACGGCACCGCCTTATGAAAGAAAAGAAAACAGTTCCGAAATAGACCAGTAATTGAGGGTGAATTTCATTTTTTATTTATTTTGAATACTTGACTATATTTTATACAAGATTAATCGAGATTTTAAAAATATTTTTTGTTCATTACAAACACATTGACTGATTTTGAATAAAAGGTAGTTTCCTCTTACATGAAAAATCTGTCACAAACCGCACGTTTCGTAACCAATCCTTGCACTACAGAGATATATAAATTACGTACAAAAAAGAAGAGATTTCATCAAAATTATTTTTCTTAAAATCTGATTAATTTGGCAGGGATATCGTCACCGTACAGACAAACGATATTTCACAAACTAATCTGAGACCATCTGAAACAACCTGAGTGGTGACTTTGTCAGGGGTTTACTTACTGGGACGTGATAAAAGTCTGCCAATTCGTGCTTGAGCAACAAAAGGGGATTGGTATAGATCTACTGTGCATGAAAAAACTGCAGATGTTTGAAATATTTCATTCCAAAAGAGAGCTTGATATATTTGTGGTCTATATCAAGTGATATAAGCGAAATTCAGAAAAAACAGTTTGAATTCAGCCGGAAATGAATAGATTGTTCGGGGCAACACTATGGCCATACCGGTAACCAGTCAGAAGTTTTAAACTCGTTATCACAATGAACCTATGGTAAAACAACGGAAACAACCGAAGTTCTGCGTGCAGAATCAACGGTACAGAATCTGAAATAAAATTAGGGTTCTGCCGGCGGATTTATTTTACTCGTTGGTGTTGGGAAAGGATTCCAAATATTGGTTTTATCGTTTTAAAGGCAATTTTGATTTAAATTTATAAAGTCAAATGGCCATCTATAACTTCTGGAGAAAATAACTGACCATAAACAAATTAGAAATTGACCTGTTAGTTATTAAAACTCTTATATCTATATAGGGTAAATGATCGTAAACGAAATTATTACGGAATGACGCACAAGCCTTGTACTATATGCCCTCGACCATCAAATGGTGAGGGCATGAAAATGTTTTATACACAAGAAGAAAATGTAAGGATCAGTCCGGGCCATTTAACAACGTCGATCAATTGAGCGAGGGTGTATATAGTTCATGTGTTGATTGTTGATAGCCTTTCAACTCCATTGTTTGATTACAGTGTTAACGTACATATTATTTAAGCAGTTAAAATCTAATTAATCCGCCTGTAGAATATCACTGAACACGATGTCTCGGGTTTCCTGCACCAATATTTCCTTCAATGATGGAGAGTTACAGAAATAGAGGGAAAATATAACACGACTTCGAACAATATTGAAAGAAAGAAAGAAATGTTCGCAAGTACTTACATACTTACACAGAGACATACACGTAAGTAAACAAGGACAATCACACACATACACATGTTCACATAAATAAACGGTTGCGCGATATGTAATCACTTTTCAGTAACAAATTATTGGTGTGTTCCGTCTCATGCCAAGGGTTCAAGATTCATTTCACTACTTAGCCACATAACGATATAATACAGACATTCTTTCGCTCAGCATGCAATGATATATGTATTAACACGAAAGCGTGAAAACGCAGTGTAGATAGACATACACAAAACTATCATATACAATGCTTATGTATGATCAAATTACAACAGAAACATGCATATTTCAGACCATCAGACAAAAATTACAGAAAATTGCACAGCATCAGCTTTGGAGATTATTAAAGATTATAAATCAATTATGTTCGACACAATATGGTTACAATAACACGCGTCTCAGACTCTTGTCAAAATCTTTCGCATCTTTCAATTTAGATGTTTTTCTATTTTTCAATTATGTTCGACACAATATGGTTACAATAACACGCATCTCAGACTCTTGTCAAAATCTTTCGCATCTTTCAATTTAAATGTTTTTCTAACGTTCAATTTTGTTTTCAGTTTGTTAATAATATTTGTTCACATGAGTAGCTTTCGGTTTTTGTTACTTTAGACTTCTGCCTTGGAGTTTCTAGCCTAAATTACTACCGACGTTGACCTCTCACAACACCAAAATGGTCAATACCGCAACGTTTTGATAAACTAGACTTTTGACGATCGTATACGCTGACAAAAGCCTGTTATCGTTGTTGGCGAGGCGAAATCAGCAAATGATACCTGATTACATGTCTCCATTTGTATCTTTATCAATAATTTTGGAGGATTTCGGGTATTTGTTCATCAGGAATAATTTTATCCAGTTATTTACGTTTTTTACACTTCATCGTTTTCAGATTAACACAACTGCTAGCCGAGAAACTGCGTCATCAATATACAAGATTGTCGGAGTTATCTCCCCTGGCATCTGTTCGTGCGAGGGGCGGGGACGATGTTTTCCGTTAACATCCGTTCTCAAAAGTAAACGTAATAAACCTAACTACAGATAAGCATGTAGACTTCTTTCCACTTTTCATTCAAATATCTGGATTTCAATTAAAAAAGAAAATTGATGTGAAAACTGATTTTTTTTCTCTTCAGAAACAGAATAATCATTCTCATTTTAAAGAAATGACACAGCAATGAACTGAACTTTGGAAACTTGTTTAATCTTACTTCATAATATCTTCTCGCCACTTGTAACCTTGTGGTACATGATTATATAATCCGCCATACAAAGTAAATATTGTCTGGAATCCCATAACCTCCGGCATGGCCAATAGATATTTTTACAATGAAATATTCTCTGCTCACAACACATGTAAACCTCTTAATAGCAAAAATTTACAATACAATTTTTAATCAGAGAAATTTTTACATTTGAGCACTGAAAAAAAAAATTACTTATCAATTAAGGTTGTCCTGTCTTGTAAAACAACAAAGACTGAATTTCAAAATGATTCCCAGCTTCTAGTGTAGAGTACTATTCAATTATTCTTTCTCTCATGATCAAGAAAATAAAAGAAATGCTTGTAAAAGTTGCAGTGATTCTGGCAATAGCCCTAAACCATAAACCAATATAGGTCCTGTTAAACAGAACTATGCCACATAATAATCCTTGGACAAATCTTTTAAACACAAAAGAATATTTAAATAAAAGACATCAAAATGACGTAAGTTTTCAATACATTAAGAATTGCACCAAAGACCTTATTATCAAAGGTGTTAAATTTACGAATAATTTCCAAGAAAATTTATCTGACACACGAGACAGGTATGTGTACAATGAAATCTGAAATTTTCATGGGATTTTCAATTTGTCGACTTTATGGATAAAGAGCAGAAAAGGTTTTAAGGACACACCAATTTCCTATGGTTTTAACACAAGATAACAGATCTTTTTGATATACAGATGCCTCGCGCTGGCCAGGTATCCGTCAAAACATCTCATATAATATCGCTGGAGAAGAGACTCTGGCTGGGGTGACATATTAACTGCAAAGTGATAATAAGTAGCATGACATTAAGAGGAATCTACTATATTTCTGTTATATAGAGCTGAATACTTTTGCTTGATCACACAGTTCTCTCTGGATTAATGAATCATTTGATATCTAAATTTCCTGCTCTGACTTTGAAATATTGCAGAACCGTAATACACATATTTGTTGATGTGACTTCAATATTTCAATGAAACTACACCTTTTTCTTATTGTCTACAAAAACTTAACCATAATTTTTTTTTAATTATCTACTTTTCAAAGCAAACTTGAAATCAATCACTCATAAAAAACATCAAACAGTAGTACACTTATAGACAGAATGTTTCAAATGAAAAATGACACCAGTTTAACACACAAGAATTCTAAATAAGTTACAAAATGAAAAATGTTAGAACATACTTATTTCTGATGATGAACTTTAAACACAATTAAATACAGAGATAAGGAAATATCACAAGCAGTCACGCACTATTAGAGCATGAAAAATTAAGTACAAAGACAAAAAAAGGATATGTATGGTGGACAATATAAAGAAAAAAAACATGTACAGGGATGGGTAAATTTACTTGTAAATGTACAATCAGCCCTGTGTCAAGAACACCATAAACTTGATTTCAAGTGCTCTCCCAATAGAGGTTATAGGAGTACATAGTGAACTGATCTGCCCGAACAAGGAGATGATAGTCTTATTAGAAAGCAATTTAAATGGATTTATACAGAGATACCCAAGGTTAAGTAAACGGCCCTGAAGTATTACTGAAGTCCAGCAAAAAACATTGAAAAATGTCAATTTTGTTTTATCATCAAAAAATGGAATTAGTTTTCATTTACTAACCATAATATAATGAACAATTTAATGTTTTAAAATTTTGTTTTTAATTCATTTAAATAAACACTGAAAACTTAATGCTGGTTTAATCAGTTCACAACACATACCACAAAAATTAATACGAGACTGTGGAAGAAAAATGTTCAAATTAAAAGAGATGGCTACAATGTTGCAGTAGTGATAATCAGAGCACTCATTTAATATCGTCTTCCTCTGTATACCTGGTATACCTATGGAAAACTTACACATGTAGTAATGTATATGAAACATACAATCAAACCTATTGTCATTTACAGCTTTAAAGGCACCACTCAGAAAGCACAACATCCTATATTCCATTACATCATAACGAGTGAGGGGCTCCATTTAATATCATAATAATTTCATTTCACCACAGTGAGTATACAGGCCAAGGATACACCCAACTTTGAGAAAATTATATTATTAACTCGGCAATTATGCAACACCTTGAATGAAAATTCTACTTTTGATCTTCACAGTAATAAGTTCAACTTTCCAGGTTTGTATTGCTACTGCAGTCTGATTTCAATCCTAAGATTACATTGATAAATATTCTTAATTGGTTACTTTCTGTAAATTCAAATTACATTTAAAGCAAAAAAAGAAACTGCCACAAAATGGAAAAAGGAACTTCACAACACAATTAAATAATTGATAATTAAAAAACACCTGTTGATAAAATCTATAAATTCAATGCCAACACCAGTATTCTGGGAATATTTAAGTACTTCATTTCAATACCCACTCATCAGAATTCTACTCAAACTATTAACTGACATTGGTAAGGATTGGATTGTTTCTTTTGTAAGAAGAAAGGAGATCAGTCTAAGCAGAGGAATTTATATCATACTGAACGATAGATTTCAAATATTACATAGTATTTTGTGTTTGGAAAGTCAAAGGAAGATATGAGTTCTATTGGAATCATATATTGAAATAAGAAAGTGAAGTTATGCTTGCTTGGTTTTTTTTTTTAATAAACTCCGTTCAGGCACATCTTAATTAGCACTATTTAACACCCCCCCGCCCCCATCCCCATTTCTTAAATCTAAATTAAATGTAAACTTCTAATGATATCCATATAGAACAAAAACGGGGGAATGACAGACTTTCAAGTATTGCAAGTGAAAAGCAGTGATGAATGTGCTTCAAGTACAATGATTTGCCTGAAACGTATGATATTGCCAGTCATATTCAGGCAATGTTAAAAAGTTAAATCTAGTACCACTTGACTTTTATTGAACATAAATTTTATCGACTTTGTTTTATATTCCACCTCCTTCCTCCCACACTTCACAATAAGAAATTTAAGGTGTTTTTTTTTTCATTTTCACCGTTTTTATAGTTGATGCAATAAATTGTAAATGTAAAACCAGTAAGAGAAATGACTGACTTTCTGACAGTGTCTGTGTACACCAATACATCCTCCACTTTCTCTGTTCTTGTTGCAGTCTCTGTCCAGCATGATTTATGTACAAATCTTTTACACAGAACAGACCAACTTCTGTACAGCACACTTGCTGATACACATGTTTGTGCAATATTTTAAATTGATTTGAGTATTACAAAGAAACACAATCACATGGGCAAGATACAGTGATGAAATAACATGTAAACATTTCACACTTCTTCACAGCCACAATTTTCCATGTGTAATATCATCCGCCATTTTTCAATCCGGAGAATCACACTTTGTCAGCATTTATCCTGAAGTAGTCAATTGTTTTAATATTAACACACAATTTCAGCTTCATCAACCAGGCAAGTCACTACAGAAGTCGACTGATTCAGTGTATCAGACACTGTATCTGGGCACACAGAATCCCCCTGGAAAAGCCCCTATACAGAAATGGTTTGGGGAGACCAATGAAACGTTATGCCAACGCTGGATCGTCACGTGAGAATATCTTTACACTTCCTGGTTTCATCCATGACAGACCTTTACTGGAAACACCAGGTGAAGGGGCCCCATTTCTAGGTCCTTTATCACTTTCGCTTTCCTGTTATAAAGCATTGGAAAGAAAAAGTATGTTACATATGTAAAAATAAAACCAATCACCATTACAAGCTTGTTCTTGAGATTTTTTTTTTTTTTTTTTTAAAGAACGCTGATCTCATACCATTTTGTCACAGGTATGACTTCACAAATATAGCACGTAAAATGCAACTACCACAAAAACTCCATGACACAGTCATTTGAAATCTCCTGTTTGAATACAACTTTTCTTTCCAAAAGGATGATTTTTTTTCATAATAGTGTGTTATAAATTGACAAGAATCCATTCTTTTCCTGTGTTTACGTGTTATTTTTCCTGTCAATATCTTGTTAAATAAGAGCAGAGATGAAGATTAAAGATTAAATTTAAATTCTCATGCTTGCCTTTTTAATCATTGCCTGTCAGTAGTAAGCATGTGTTAGAGGTTGTCAGTGTTAGGGAATTGTGACAGGTTTGATGTGTATGTCTACTGATACAGAGGTATGTGTCTTGTATAATTGGCCATTAATGATCCACAAGTAACAGTTATTACATCTATCTGTTTCCATATTTAACTTAACTAAAGAATATCCAATAGCTTGGTGCCGTGTTTCATTTGTTTTTTGTTTTTGTTTTTTTTTTCATTTTAATTTTCAGTCATTGTTAGATTTACTTGGACATATATTAATTGCAACTTGCAGTGCCAGTTTTTTTATTGAGCAAGAGAAAGAAATTAATACATAAGATTAACTATAACATAGTTTGAAATCACATACACATTAGACATTGAAAAGCACCTCTGAGTGTTACATGCCAGTGTAGTAGAATCACACTAATATACAAGTAATGACTTCATATGAGGTCAATAAAGTGATTGTGAACCTGAAGAAAGGCATTATGGTGTGGTGGTCAGTTTTTGTGTAGGCTTGGAAGGTGCACAATTAATTTATTTAACTGATAATCAAAACGGACATCTGTGTTATTGTGTGTCAGTGGAAAGTCATTTGTATAATTCAGGATCAAAATAGATGTCAGTGAAAGTTATCAGGCTGCCATAGAAAGTTATTTCTATCATTAGAAATTATCATTGACAAAGCATAAGTGTGGGCTTTCATCAACATATTTCTTGTAAGCTTGGTTTAAATAAATCTTAACAAATTAACAGAAAATCAAATATTCATATTTTTAAAACAATTTTCATTTTTATCAAGATAAAATATTTATTAAAAACTCCAGTATTCTTTTTTTTTAATAAAGGATTTTTCTCTCTCAAAAATTCTAGACAAAACTGAACATGACAGGGTGTAAAACATTGGGAACTTCGATGACAAAAGAGACTGGAGACTTCATGCTGAGTGCTGAGCAAGGCATTCAACAGGAACCTACAAATGTGACGAGGTTGGATGCAGTCGTGCGATAACGAAGTGTTACCTACACTCAACTCATGAACAGCATCAGTGGAAGAGTTTTTTTCTACATCTACAATTCAATAAACCACATCTGAGAAATCTCGCTTGAGTTAATTATCGTCTACACTAATAAAATTAATCACTGGCTTGAAATGGTAGCTGTTAAACATTTGATATTAAGAGCTACTATTGGTTACTTTGTAGTTATAATATCTGACAACAAATACAGTTGGTGGGCTGGTAGGGCATATAAAGACATATGATGCTGATTTCTTCTCTACATATTAGCTACAGGTATATCTGTTAATTCAGTTAAACATCGAAAATAAAGCAGAATCAACATTCAACAAATTTCAATGATGAAAAGTTATTTTTCTTAATCTTTGAAATTAGAGCATTTCTGTGATAAAAGCTACATCATGCTTAAAATCTGTTTTGTTCTTTCACAGATTGTTTTCAATTTTATTTATTTTCCGTTTCTTTTCTTTTTTCTTTACAAGAATACAGAAAAATGTGTATAATCTGACACCTTTTGGAACACAACATACAAATCAGGCACGAAATAAGACCACAGCAAATAGGTCTTATTTGCAAATGTTTTATAAATACTTTATCATTACTAGTCAGAGTGTTGATATACCTCAGGTGTCAGTATGAGACAGGTTTTGCAGCACATGTTGAATTTTCTGCTACATTTTCAATCTTATAAACAGACATTATCTATCAGCAATACTAAGACTCTATATACAGTATGTCACAATAAAAACTTAACATCCATCCGGATCTAATTCAAATTTCATCTCGAAAAAAAAAAATCAATGAACAAGTTCTACTGTGTCAGTTCCAACATTTATTGCTTTCAATGTTCTAATCATTGATAAAGAGTCTATTTCAAATCTCCTGTCCCACAAATAATTGTTTGTTCATTAAATATTTGAGATAATTCAATTCTTTATTAATTTTTATTGTTATACTTATCAAATCAAGATTATTTTCATTTAACTATTAACACTGACATTCTAATATTGAATTGAAATCATTTGTGACCTATATCTAATGCTTCACTAATGTCTTGATCAGTTAGAATGTAGTTAAATGTCTGGCTGTTAGGGTGTTTGTGAGTGTATCAGTACTCTATAGCAGTCACAATGGGGATAAATATATACAGATAATACACCATAAGTTAAAAATTATAAAATATCAAGGAAGATACAGTGAAACCTGGGTATTCTGACACCTCCAGGGTGACAACATTTCATCCATATATTTCAAAGGATGCTGAAACTTTGCTTTAAAATCATGGTTGGTTCCAGAAAAAATCTAAACTCTATTGTATGATAGAGATGTCAGAATTCACAAGTGTCAGATTACCATATAGCCGTTTCTTTGCATGGGGTTCATATTTTTGCTTTCTCGCGGTAAATTAACGTGAATGCAAAAATGTAATCCACGAATAACGAGACATGTGTGTGTTCAATATTCTTTTACCTCCTGATTGTCAAATTCTCTTTTATTGTTATATCATTCAATTATTTTTAATGACAATTGAGAAAATTTTGACCTGTAAAAATGACCAGCTATACCGTACATTGTAAACACAAAATTAATTGTCCGAGTCCTAACTGTGGAGTATGCAGAATTTTGTTTCCTAGTATAAATGGCCATTGGTGAGGAAGTTGGGGTACTGGGATAATCTTATATAGTATACCTGTTCCGTAAAACACAGGCTAGAGATCTAGTGTAGGACAAGATGAAGAGCAGTTTTATAATGGAACATCCAAATAGGAGGGCACATGTTATAAAACAGCTTGGTTATGGGGAGAAATAGAGAATAATGCCTATCTGTCAAATGTGAAATAGCTTGGCTAACGAGAGTTAAGGGGAGTGGGAAGAATATCAATGGTGGTGTGATTGTGAGACAGCTTGGCTATAGAGATTTATGGGGAGTGTGGGAGATTATCAGTGGTGGTGTAATTGTGAGACAGTTTGGCTACAGAGATTTATGGGGAGTGTGGGAGAATATAAGAGGTGGTGTAATTGTGAGACAGTTTAGCTACAGAGATTTATGGGGAGTGTGGGAGATTATCAGTGGTGGTGTAATTGTGAGACAGTTTAGCTACAGAGATTTATGGGGAGTGTGGGAGAATATAAGAGGTGGTGTGATTGTGAGACAGTTTGGCTACAGAGATTTATGGGGAGTGTGGGAGAATATAAGAGGTGGTGTGATTGTGAGACAGTTTAGCTACAGAGATTTATGGGGAGTGTGGGAGAATATAAGAGGTGGTGTGATTGTGAGACAGCTTGGCTATAGAGATTTATGGGGAGTGTGGGAGAATATAAGAGGTGGTGTAATTGTGAGACAATTTGGCTACAGAGATTTATGGGGAGTGTGGGAGATTATCAGTGGTAGTGTGATTGTGAGACAATTTAGCTACAGAGATTTATGGGGAGTGTGGGATAATATAAGAGGTGGTGTGATTGTGAGACAATTTAGCTACAGAGATTTATGGGGAGTGTGGGAGAATATAAGAGGTGGTGTAATTGTGAGACAGTTTGGCTACAGAGATTTATGGGGAGTGTGGGAGAATATAAGAGGTGGTGTGATTGTGAGACAGTTTAGCTACAGAGATTTATGGGGAGTGTGGGAGATTATCAGTGGTGGTGTAATTGTGAGACAGTTTAGCTACAGAGATTTATGGGGAGTGTGGGAGAATATAAGAGGTGGTGTGATTGTGAGACAGTTTGGCTACAGAGATTTATGGGGAGTGTGGGAGATTATCAGTGGTGGTGTAATTGTGAGACAGCTTGGTTACAGAGATTTATGGGGAGTGTGGGAGATTATCAGTGGTGGTGTAATTGTGAGACAGCATGGCTACAGAGATTTATGGGACGTAGGGGAGATTATCAGTGGTAGTGTGATTGTGAGACAGCTTGGCTACAGAGATTTATGGGGAGTGTGGGAGAATATCAGTGGTGGTGTGATTGTGAGACAGCTTGGCTATAGAGATTTATGGGGAGTGTGGGAGAATATAAGAGGTGGTGTGATTGTGAGACAGCTTGGCTACAGAGATTTATGGGACGTAGGGGAGATTATCAGTGGTAGTGTGATTGTGAGACAGCTTGGCTACAGAGATTTATGGGGAGTGTGGGAGAATATCAGTGGTGGTGTGATTGTGAGACAGCTTGGCTATAGAGATTTATGGGGAGTGTGGGAGAAGATTTATGGGGAGTGTGGGAGATTATCAGTGGTGGTGTGATTGTGAGACAGCTTGGCTATAGAGATTTATGGGGAGTGTGGGAGAATATAAGAGGTGGTGTGATTGTGAGACAGCTTGGCTACAGAGATTTATGGGGAGTGTGGGAGATTATCAGTGGTGGTGTGATTGTGAGACAGCTTGGCTACAGAGATTTATGGGGAGTGTGGGAGAATATAAGAGGTGGTGTGATTGTGAGACAGTTTAGCTACTGAGATTTATGGGGAGTGTGGGAGAATATAAGAGGTGGTGTGATTGTGAGACAGTTTAGCTACTGAGATTTATGGGGAGTGTGGGAGAATATAAGAGGTGGTGTGATTGTGAGACAGCTTGGCTACAGAGATTTATGGGGAGTGTGGGAGAATGTAAGAGGTGGTGTGATTGTGAGACAGTTTGCTAAGTAAGACATCAGTACAATTTTGTGGAAAGTCGAATTTGTCCTTAAAACATAAGCAGAATAGCTGATCTACAGTATTACAGTGTAGCTTGGAGTGACATAACAGGGCAAGCTACTAGGACAATTCTAAAGAAGTCTATTCTGACGGTAATGCATTATCTGGAACAATAGAATTAGTGATACCAAAAGAATTTATTTCTCCTTGACCTTCACCCCAAATGGTAAGTGTTCCATTCTAAAGTGAAATGATGTTGCATGCACTTTTCCCCACTTCAGTAATTTTTTTCCTGTTCCATGGACAACCACCAAAGTCAATTACACCACCACAATAAAGAATACAGACAATTAATTTTGGTAAATTACAAAAACAAGTTATTATGTCTTTACTGTGACAATGGGTTTGCATCAAAATCAATGAATTTCATAGTTTAGGTTGTTTATTTCTCAAAAAAAATTTTCCTATTGATGTTGATCTTAGGACAATACAGATGAAATTACACAAACCCATTATCACAATCACTTCAAAGATTACTCCAATAAAACCATCTTTTTCGTTAATTTTGTTTGCAAGTGATTTGAATGACAGACCCAAATACTGAAATACTTCTTTTAACTGTTCTGATGATATATAATATCAAGTCATCTTTGAAGTGACAGATTTTATTTGATACCCAGTCAAACATCAACATTTAGGATATTTTTTTCAAACTTAATTTACATGCACACAGGGTGTATACAACACAAATATTTCAGAAAATATCTAAACATCCAGAGATTTTTAAAGACCTGCAGTGACTGGGTACCAAAATATTCAACATGCAAAAATCATGATCATTAAAAGGTTTGTAAAAAAAGGTGTTATGCCCACACCACACCAAGCATTTACCTGACCCCATTACCTTCATCTTCAGCATTTGTTGCCGGGTGTCCTCATGTATTGAGGGATCCCAAGGGCTAAACCTAATTAGTATATTTGTAGACAAACAGATTAAGATCACATACAAACACACATCCAATATTCCTAGTTATCATAAGGTTTTAGAAAAATATATATATGTTCCAATACTTAACAATCTCTCACTTATATCTTAAACAATTTTTGATAACACACAATCTTTTAAATGCCAACATTAGTTTAAGGATCAAACTATGGCAAAGCATTCCTCTTTGAGAACAGGTACTTCCTAATGACTAATAATCTTAGAAATCAGAAGACATTTACTTGGAACATGTTGTCCTAGCACAGTGTTATTGTGGTGATGTTATTTTCCCTCAACTTCCTCTACTTTTTACCTTTCATCATAACATGTCCATCTATTTTTGGGAAGTTGTTTTTTCTTTAAAACCTTTGTCTTAATGTCTAGTCATGCTTAGAGTGAAAATGCCAGTAACAGTGAACACTAAATTTTCATCAAAATAAGTTTTTTCATTAATCCAAGAGTATTTGTTTTTAACTATTTTCCCCTTCCTTTCCAAGTGTGATCTTGGGAAACTCTTACCAAAACAGGTTAAAATCTGCCCAACAATCTAGTAAGGTAACAACACCAACAACTAATAACCTGCCACAGCAGATCATAACTTCATCTGGTCTCGATAAACTTCCATTTTAGGCCTAACCTATTGCATTCTTTCACTAAACTGTCTCAGTTTCAGGAGTCAGCACCACCACACCTCTAAAATGGGTCGTTTTGGGAGCTGTCCCTATCAGATTGTGAAGCCCCTACCTGAGGCAATGAGGATCATCAGACTTTACAGGATCATTCAGTCGTTCCTTACTCTTCTGCACTGATTCAGCAACTTGTTTTTTGAAAGACTCAAGGTCACTTTCGTACCTGTAATATTACATTTTAATATAAAAACAGCATTAAATCACAAGTTTAAAAAGGTTTATTTCTGAGATCTGTGACAGTAGTGATATTTAATCACAATAATTACATTACAGTACATACTACACAACAAGCAACGAACTCAAACTGTAACAGAAATGCATAAACAAACTTCATTGGTAAAATAAAATGGGGAGTAAATATATTAATTTGAGAAATTCTATCGTAACACTTCATTACTCAGGGGATAAATTACTGGAGATATTTAGATATTTCTGACAGATTTACTGAATATCACACAGGTGGGAATATGGGGAGGTTTTGAGTTTGAGAAATTTCTTTTTTCAGTAGTCATAAAGAAAAAATTCATAGATCGATATTTATGAAAAATACATCTAGATATTTACAAATTAATTGAAGAAAGATAAGAGACGTTTAGATGAAGTATTCAACATTAAGTACCCGAAGCTAAATACCCGTGGAAACCTGCCAAATAAATATGTGCTTGAATAGTTTTCTTCACTTACATGTCAGCAGCCTCCTTATTGAGCGGCGACTTGCTGTCAATTTTGAAGAAAACTCGTCGTGCGTACAACAGAACCTGCCACACATGGTTCACATTCCTCCTGGAAAAAAAGGACACATTAAAAGGATTCACTGGGCAAGAAAAATATCTGTACAGCATAAATGTCCTTGCTATTGCTTTTTGATGGAATAATGATGCAAAGCCTAAAAAATAAGTTAAATTGTGAAGTCCTACCTATAAAATTGTGCTAAATACAATGGTTAACCAAAGGCAGTGAAATGTAGGTCACCCTGACCTTTACGGGACATGATAGACTAAACTGTATAACCGTCCAGATGAAATAAATACAATATTTTATGGAGCTAAAGTTTATTTATCATATTAACTCCCACAGTAAAAAGAAAGTTGTAGAACTCTGTGGTACTGGTAAAAAGAAAGTTGTAGAACTCTGTGGTACTGGTAAAAAGAAAGTTGTAGAACTCTGTGGTATTGGTAAAAAGAAGGTAAATCATGTATAGATGAATGGATGGTAGTACAAATGATGAGATAAGTTATTCTGAATATGTCAAACATACGCTACCAGCCAAATCAGAGAAGTACCAACAAGAAACATGTGGTTTGTATAGGGACATTTTAACTTACCTCCATTTCTGGAATGCACGCTTGACGTCTAGTTGTCCTGTTAATGGGTCAACCAGAGGATGAAAGACCGGTAAGTCAAAGACTAGACTCTGAAACATCAATATTACACCTGGTCAGTCATGAAGAGCATCAAATTTCTCCATAGCTCTTTTTATACTGTGTGTAAAATTGTCACAGCACAAAGGCTTGCATACATGGTATGTATTGTTAAATTAAGATGAAATTAAGACCTATTGACTTTAAACCATGAAACTATGAAAAATGTTCATAATCAGATTTTGGAAAACTTTATATTGGGTCAATATCATTATGTCTGGATAAAATATCGTCTTGATGTTTTTACCAGTCACACTTCATGGAAAATCATTAAAATAGTGTAAATGACACATCACTTGAAACCTATATATTTTTAATTTGGTTGAAGCTGGAGAGCAGGAAAACTCGAGTTGTGATGAAGGAACTATAACACATCTGTAGATATTATAACATACTTACAGGACAATCCCCATTAGGGAAATTGTCTGGAATTATAACAGTGAATTTGAAGGCTCCCTCCTGGTACAGGCCTTGTCTGATAAACAGTACCCCATACCACACTGTTAACAGAAAGGAAACAATTGTTACAACTGGTAATTGACAATAAATATGTATTACTCTCCTATGGTACGTAAGAATAGCAATGGAATTTACAGAAACAGATATACACTGTAAAACACTTGGACATTTTCATCCTTTTTAAGCAAAGACACATCGACACAAGTAAATGTTTAACCTAATTACAAATTCAAATACAAATATACAGTGTATTCTCCTTAACAAGTCCTATATACATCTGAATCATATTAACCCCATAGTAAAACTGTTTTACAGGGCTAACACACTAATAGGAACATTTCAGTGTTTAACAGGTGACGACCGAGCTTGGGATGACGTTAAAGATTTCCAATAAGATATAATAGCTTGAAGGAGTTTTAATTTCAGATACACTGCAAAACACCTACAGCATTTTGTGATGCTTTATATTTTGTTATTCATTGATGGGAATCTCCCATTGTCTGCTTCTACAATTAAGTTGGCTATTTCTATTCATAATGGTATTCCCTGTAACATAGTTGTGGTTCCACAACACCCACAAATACAGCACTTACCAATATAGTATATGGTGACAATGTCCTGTCTAGCAATACGGCAATGGCTATATACTTACCCAAGGAGGACATTGCTGAGGGTATCACGTAACAACCGGGTATTATCTGTTGCATCAGCAAATTACTGGAGAAGAAATTGTAGGCAATAAGGATACCACACATGGTAATAGAAACAAAAGGCCCACAAGAACTGAGGGTTCATCTGGTTGACCCATGAGACAAATATAGAACAAAACATTTTACATGACCATAATAAACTAAGGCCTGAACAAGATAGAATTGTAAGAACTGGTACGACAACAGATGTACCTATATCATATAACTGGCCTGTTATCTTGTCAGGTGACCCATGTAATATTTTTGCATATGTCACAAGTGTAATATACCCTTGTGTGTTTTTCATTGGCTGCACCAGTCAGAAATTGATTGATTACTATCATAAATATCCTCCACATTTTTACTTTGAACCTGTAAAAATGTAACTTTTCGAAGTGTTTTCATATAAAATATCATAAATTTGTTTTCATTTAATATGAGACTTTACGAAAGACATTTCAAAGTTTTCATTTTTGCTTACCAAGGATCACAAAATAAAAAACTTTTCATAAGATGACAAATAAAACAAAATTTCAATTTAATATCCAAAATATGTATGACAGCATATTAGTATCTATAATTTGTTACTTTAGCAAGAGGACAGTGATTAGCACTGTATACTAGGTACTCACTACTCAGCCATGAGGGAGTATTCCAGCATGAAAGGTCCATAACTGTTTGTGTTGGCCTTGACGATGGAGCCGTGCTGTTTGGGGCGGGCAGCCATGTGGGCCTGAGTCTGTGTGTCGGGGATGGATGGCAGCTGCTTCCTGCCTTCCTTATTTGTCTCCTTTACCATTGGTCTGGTGGGGGCACTCGATGTCGCCTGCCAACAACAATAGACCAGTTAAAATAAGTACATATGTACTTATTAAAACTTAACAAATACTTTCAAACCGTCTATTTTGGGGCTATTAATTTTTGCGATGTAACGCTCATTGACCATTTCTTCGTTGTAATTTTTGCGAAATTTGATTTCTTTTTTATGAGGTTAAGATGTTTACAGCAGTTAAATTTAGCAACTGCCCTGATATGCAAACATTGTAAAAATAAGCCACTCACAAGTCAAAATGGCCAGATTTTCTCAGGGTTTGCTTGTAATGAATTAATATTACAATCTGTTGACTTCACTTTTTTTAACATTTTTTTTCTTAAGGTTACTTTAATATTTATTGTACAAAAGTTACTGAAAAAACACTTCTTCAACTTAAGCATATTATTTAACACTACATATTTTTGAAAGGAGGTATAGATGTGTGGATATGTGAGGTTAATTTTGCCAAATGATCATTTTCAGACTTGAAATAATCAATCTAACATCATATATAATCAGATAGAGAAAACCTAATCAGTTATGCAGGTGACCTCTAACCCTTTAACATCTGATCATGGAATCAATGCCAGATCTAGTCATCTTACTGAAGGGCAAAAAGTACACTTAGGCTATATTTAGGGAGTCCAGTGGATGGCTTTCTTAATGTCTGTTTTCCCAGTAACTTCTTTCAGGTGCTGTGTATTTCTATTGTCTAGGATGATTACTGAATTAGTGATTCCATACCAAGGTGCTATTCACTAGTGTGTCTTTTGTGCCATCTCTGTATCAAATGGATCTTTTTTTTTTGGAACAATCAAAAAACTTACTTTAAAAGGTATTCTTTCTTGATATACTGAGAAGTATTCTTGCTATTTTCTTCATTATAGATGAAGATTTTGTATAAAAGTATGAAAATATAGCTGACACCACACATTAATTTTACCCAGACAAAGCCAGACAGATTTCTATCTGGGAGGTATAACAACCCAGGAAATATCATATATCTTGAAGAATCAGTGTTCACTCATGCAACACTACACACGCCATATAAAGTAATTTTCTTTCTCTTCTTGTTCCTTTTGTGTAGCCACTGAATATTCAAGAAAATATTTCACATGGCATTTAACTTATCGTTTTATAGCCTTACATGGATATCATACAGCGAGTGCTGTCAAACTTAACCAACAATTTATTTCAGAGTTAGTGTTTATATATATATATGTATATATATATGCTTGTATGTTTTCAACTTTCCTTTATTCTCTGTATAAACTTACTGTACTTACATTTTACAAGAAATAATATTCAAGAAATTTGAATTTGCTTGTCATTTTCATTTTTGATTTGAAGCAAATCGGACATATCAACTGATAAATTATAACCCCTATTTATGCCTGAACTATTGTATGTTGTTATTTTTAAGAAAACTGGACTCATAAAATGATAAATTGAGGTCATTACTCTAAGGTATTTTGTGAACTTAGGTTTTTAGTTGGCTCTTTTTACAACCCTACATTGGGAAATCAATGTTATTGAAAACAAAGTTATGTCAACCTTTTTTATAATGACAGCTGTATAATTACTGTATATGATGAATGGATGACCTTGCAGACATAGACAAATATTACATTTGACAGGTAAATACAGGAGACAGTGACACCTATAACTACAGTAGTACATATACCATACATACCAAGTAAACACAGATTTATTTTTAACAGAGATTGTTTTGTAACATTTGTTAATTCGTTGATAATATTCAAACATATAAACACATGCTAAGGTAGATTATTTCACATTTATTCACTGGTAGACTTACACAAGTGACAATGTTCTGTAGAGATGGTCCAGATACATATCATACAGTAAAAGGATTTGTTGTGTGAGTACACATTTCAAAAGAAGGAAAAAAACAAAAAATTAATTTGAGACGCACTGCCAGCTCAGCTGGTTTGACAAGAAGCAACATGATATTCCATGGAGACTGATTAAAGAGTTACATATTTGAGCCATTTTTTAAATCATAAATTTCCTTGGCTTGTCATTGAACAAATGTTTTTTTGTCACTTTCCACAGGATGACACCAGTGTATTTGATGGTTCAGATCAACAACATTTATTACCTGTATCCATTACCTGGCTTTCTCACCTGTACAGGTATAACGAGATTCTGTTGGAGCCATCAATCTTATAAGTATCTGGCTCTGTCACATACCTCAGCTAACAGGGATAAGTAATTCATTCACCTTCTACACCCTTTCGCCTTGTTTTTTGATGATAGCTCGTACTGGCTATAATCTTTCAGGATAGAGTAAATGACAAACACATGCCAAAAAAATGCTGTTTTATATATCTATGTAGAAGTACACCTTTTAATGTTTTTTAACCCCTTCCCTGTCTCCCTGTCTCCTGAACCCTTGTCTGTGTAATGTATACATACAACTTTCATCCAATAGGCTCTACAAATCACAACTTTTGAAACATAATTATAGAGACAGTGATGACATTTTCCATCAATCCAACAACTCTAGTGTAAATGTACATAAACTTATGTGTTTACGTCCACCCCAAAACTATTCACTATTCTGAATTTCTGTTACAAAGTACTGGTAATAAACTTTATGAACTTGCTAGTATATGTATTATACAAAGTAGACATGTCCAAATACCACAAGCTATATGTTTGTTTATTTGTTGACTGGATACAACCTACTGCCCCATGAACAGTTAGAGTCAAAGACTCTTTCAAGTGGCTGGTGACTGCCTTAATGAAGCACATGCAGAAGGCCCATCACATGTTATCAAGAACAGTTTGGATAAAGTGTCTTGCATAATGATCTAAAGTGCACAAGATGTTCCAATGATTTCCACTTGGTGAAAAACACAAGTCGCTTGGAGTAGACACTGTTGAACCACCGGCCTTTGAACCACCCACCTTCGACTTTCATCTAAGGTTACAAAGTCTGACACTCTGAGCTCTATCATGACCAAAAATGATACAAAGAAATTATATTAACAGTGTCATATCCAAACTCATCACTCCCTGTAGTCATAGCAATGTCAGATGACTAAAAACAAGTGCCTAGCAGCTAACCTCAGATCACTACAACAGACTCTTCATTCCAAATTCATATATCTGCTTCTATTTCCATTTTTGTTTTTTATGCTTTATAACTTACAAGTTTTATACTGTATTCTGTTTGATCCTACTCTGTTCTCTCATTATTAATCCCGCCGAGATAATAAACATGTCACATATTGTCTGCTGCACTACACATTTATACTGACTTCTGTGTTTGTATTGCAAAACCATGATATGATTCAAGTACCATATTTGTCCTACAAAATTTCGCAAGGGCCAAAACATTACCTTTGAATTCGAGGGTGGGCATATCACAGGATGACAAAGTCCTGTTCAGGGTGACCACATTCAGTAATAAGCCCACCCTTTGACTTATGTCACCATGACATAGAATTTATTTCCAGAGTTACTTCGGTGGATGTGAGTGGGTTAATATTTCCATGTATTGGTCAATTGTCAGACAAATATGGTAGCATTAAGTATAAAATTACACTATACAGAAAAATACCACACAAACCACCTGATGACACTTGTTACAAGGCAAATCCCCAAGTGTGAAAACCTTATTAATCAAAGGAAACTGGTTTCTATGACAACAAATGGTGCTTTACAGGTATATATACAAGTTGATATGTAAACAGGATTTCAGGGAATAAGGTTTATATATAGCTAACTACATCAAGCTTTCAAGAAATCTTCTTTTAATATTAAAATAAAGCTGATTTGTCTGTCACATCAATTACAAGTGGTAAAGTGACCTAGAGTCCTATTTTTATGTTACAGTCATGAGATGTGTGGAAATATTAAATTGAACATAATTTTACTAAATACTAATTGAAAGTGATTGCATTTCATGCAAAGTTACCCAAACCTCTTAAACAAAAGTTAAACATCCTGTGTGTAATTGTTTTACTGCACTTAAAATAGAACCTCAAGTTCTACTCCATGTTATATTTTTCAAACATAAGTTAAGTATCTACAATGGACTTAGCATATTTTTAAATCTAACATTATGGCAGTGAATTAAAAAAACTTTTATGGAAAAAAAATATAAAAGTGATGGACAGAAGGTGTCTAGCTGCCTTAAGCCTGTGGGCAGCTAAGTCCATATTATGACAAAATGAAAAAAAACATTAGCCTTTGAATCCTGACCAAGAGGCTTCCACCTCTGTACCCCTAATTCATTCATATCTGCATACATATCTTAATTCCTGCTTTGTGAACATGCTTAAGTATTTTGCTACATGATGGTGAGAGGTAACTACATGTATATGCATGACATGTGCACCTCAATACTCCAGGGGTTACTATCACTTTCTCTCTCTGTACCCACGATACTCCAGGGGTTACAATCACTTCCCCTCTCTGTACCCTCGATACTCGAGGGGTTACGATCACTTTCGCTCTCTGTACCCTCAATACTCCAGGGGTTACAATCACTTCCCCTCTCTGTACCCTCAATATTCAATGGTTATGATCACTTCCCCTCTCTGTACCCTCAATACTCCAGGGGTTACAATCACTTCCCCTCTCTGTACCCTCGATACTCGAGGGGTTACGATCACTTCCCCTCTCTGTACCCTCAATACTCCTGGGGTAACAATCACTTTCGCTCTCTGTACCCTCAATACTCCAGGGGTTACAATCACTTTTGCTCTCTGTACCCTCAATACTCCAGGGGTTATGCAAATATGCAGGCATATGCGCAGTAATTTGATTTGTTCCAAGAGAAAAAACTGACCAATCACAGGCTTATACCTCCTTTTGAAAATTACAAAGGAGTGACACCCAACTTCAAAGCCATTACAATAAACTGTTATAGGACCTTGAGATTCATTTCATGTACATCAAAAGATCAAACAAGTCTTTCATGTCTCCTCCACTAGGTGTTGTGCATGGAACCTTCAATTTTGCCATGACATGTTCCAGAGGTGTAGGGAGCAAAAGTGATCGTAACCACAGGAGTATCTAGGATGGACCTCTTATGAATCCTGCCAGTAATAACAGAGTGAATCTTGTCAGACTCGGAAACTCCTTATACCATTTTATTCCTATCAAATCCTTGGAAATTACTGTGTTGTTTATCTTTTTATATAAATGTCAATAAGATGGAATGGTATTTATTATGATCAGAAAAAACATGAAAACATGTGATATAATCATGTGACTTACCTGAGAACTTTGTGACATAACAGCAAGAAAGGTGCGATAGTCATGTGGAGAGACCTGTATCCCTCAATAGTTCTACATAGTTTCACCAGTTGGACTGGTCAGACATTCAAGCTCTGGCCACTACATCCTCTCACCTGGTCAGCTGTAAAATAAAACCATTTTTCAATGCAAAGTCATGAGTTGTATGTAACGGTTGGTATAGATACCAGTAACTGGATATTTCATTATAATTGGAGACTAGGTATTGTAGTCAATGTGTCTGTATAATCTATAATTAACTTGTGTGTATTTCAGTACTGTAATCATCTGGAGTGGCAATAAAGATATTAAAGCAATGTGTGTAATGTCAGCAGTGTTTGATCCGAGTCAATAGTGGTCAGTGTGTGGACTGAAGTAATCAAAAGATCCAGCATGCTGGTTACACTGCAGATAGTATAAATATATAAATTTAAAATCTTTCTAATTTACAACAATTGCAAAACATGCTGTCGGTTTATATTAGTCACTCTTGTTGGTGAATTGGAATCCTGGAAGGGTCTTACTGTGTCAAGAAACTAGAGTACTCTGAGAAAACTGACCTGGTCAAGCGGGTGACACCAATACCTTATCATGTCTACTCAGGGAATCAAACCCTGTATGTCTAAGTGAAAAGCCAGTGTTACCAAAGCAACCACCTTAGAATGTTGATGGTTATAGCACAGTCTTAAAATTGAAAATGATCACTATCTGAACTGCAAAAGTTTCACAGTTTAATTTTTTGAAATTTTAACAAAAGCATGAAGCAGAAATGGCATAAATATTTGTCATGGACTTTTCTGTTAAATATACATTTCACAGTATTTTGGTGGCAATTTTATTCAAACTTTGAAAATAGCTTAACTACAAAAAAAAAATATGTTGGTATTTCTAAGTACTGAAATACATGTATGTATATATATATATATATAAATTAAGGCTTGACTTGATTTTTTTACCAGATATGGGTTTACTGTCGAATAAAAAGTGAAGGGACCAGACAGTTGACAACATACTGACATCATCATTGATCAAAATTATACTACGGCCAGCAATATAAGTTCCTATTACCATATATATTATCAACAGGTTCAAAGTGTCTTCCACCCCTTACCCTCCTTCTGATGCTATTTACATTGTGCTTATTCCAATATCACTACACTCCAATAATCTATACTTTGTATATGTACTTTAATATACTCCATGTAGCAGTTAATATGTCACCAAGGTCTATGCCAGGAGATTATACATAAATTGGTAAATTCAACAAGTGTTGACAATGATGCAGTTTTATTAGATATTTTTCTATACAGACGCGCATTTGTCAAAGATATGTACTAGTAATATACATTTTTTTCAGCTGTTACTATGTCTGACATTGGAATATTTCATATTACAAATGAAAGATTAGTATTTAAAAGGTATTAGGATGTATTTAATTGTTTTGTTTGTTGGTGAATATAAAATTGTAAATTATATTAATGAATAGTAATAAATCTGTATGATTCTTGTGGTTGTGGTACAGATATCTGACAGTATATCTGTCAGTTCATAATATCTAAACTTGATAAACATGTAACACAAAAAAAAGTTTATTTTTCTTATCAATATTTTTCCTGCTTGCTTTTCTGTTTGCTGGGTTGATGTCCATGATTAGCTAGGTCATTTTCAGTGGGAATCTCCTTATAGTACTAAGTGAATACCATACTGAATATCTGTGTGCGGCCTATCAAATGCCATCCAGAACAACTGGGTTAAGTGTATTGTCCAAGGACATAACCATAAGGACAATTTGTGATCTCATGTTTCTTGATAACCACAAACCATCCCAATTAGGGATCAATTAGGGATCAAACCAAACACCTCAAATTTTCAGCTGATAGTCATTACATAAATCAGTTCAATGCTAGCTACCACCTGATAAATAATATGTACATGAATAAGATCATAATTCTGGCAGCTAGACAAGGTGACAACTTCCCAAAACAGGTTTTTCACAATAAAACTATATATGGGTAGAAAAGTAATAAACCTGAACATATTAACCTGTTACATAAAACTTCCACATTTAGAGATAAAATACTCAAGCATCAAAGACCTAAATTGCCTAAAATAAGCCCAGTAAAGCCAATATATTACAATTTTTGTACGTGCCTAACTTTTACTCAAGGTCAGCTAGGTGAAGAGATTACTCAAAATTCTACTGAAAAGTATTCTATGTGGATGTGTATAACACAATTCATCAGCTTTACTTGCTAAATAAATTACACTGATGAATTTCATAGTACCAAGTAATGTCAAACCCTGATGAAAAACAAATCCTTTTGACCTTGGAAGTTTACCCCTTCTTTCTTCGGAGCACAATTTTTTTTAAATCTTGGCCAGACTATTTTATCTAATATTGCACATTAACTTAAGTTAACAGAAATGTTTTTGTTGAGGTGTTGTAAAATGTGATCAACCATTTATGGCACATTAGATTAATTATCAGATCCAAAGGAGTACTAAGGGTCTACAATATATCATATAATTTTCTATCATAATTTGAGTGAAAATATGACGACTTCCTTGAGATGCCTAATGGATGGTGTAAACTGATCACATCTTAATCAGCGACTTTGGTGACCTAAAAAATGACTAGATATGTAGTATTCCAAAATGAAGTATGAACAGTGTATATATGACAGTCTTAGATAGGATTATGAAGCCAAAAAGAGTGAACTGTTCAGAATATATCAAAATGTTAAAACAGATTTAATACTTACTCAATATCAGTGAATGATGTTCAATGTACAATATTAAAATCCTCTTCCTTACATAAATTGTATCGTATAAACATCTACACAGTCATAGATATGTCTAGTAGCCCATGTTACTGAAAATATGGTCTTATACATATACACTGTACATTCTCAAGTAAAAGTTTTTATGTAGAGTCCAAGTTCCTAGTATACACTGTACATTCACACTTAAAAGTCCAAGTGCTGCAGTTTTCTGAGGATGTAAGTAGTTGATTCACTTATGTACTGAAGAGAGTTCATTTGGTGTTCAACAGGTTACATATTAAGTCTAGATAGACAAATCCGCCCCTGTCAATTAGTGTTAGTTTGTACCTCTGACAGGTGTTGATGCAGGAATCACGATCTTGTCTCATTGATCAAGTAGTATTACCTGTATACAGGACTTTAAACGACAAATTCCTGATGAATCAATCACACATCACTCCTATTTAAATTCTTTTCTTTGTACATTCACCCATTTAATCTAAATCCACATGTAAACTTGGCCACCATAACATAAAATCACAAAAACTATCACAATATCTGTAGAAGAGGAAAGAATGTATGAAAACCTTAAATCCTGTACGTATTTATAAACACTTTTAAAACTTTTCTAGCGTTTAATGGGAACATGCAGTGCAACAAAAACATGTATTTAAGGTGACACAGTGAGGGGTGGTTTTCCTTATTGTACGTAGTTTTGTATCTAGAAAAACATGTATTTAAGGTGACACAGTGAGGGGTGGTTTTCCTTATTGTACGTAGTTTTGTATCTAGAAAAACATTGATTTCCTTCTATGGAAGAAAATCACTAAACCTAACCAGGTGTAAATGTAATGTACAATACATAAGTAGATATAATTTTCACCTGTGGTTGTGGGTCTAACTTATTTATAGATAATACACCTCAACCACTTCTTACAATGACCACTGATAATCGCTTGTCTACACTTAAATCTATAGCCCTCGTAGCTATACGACACATAAACACAACTAAAAAGGAGCCCAGACCTAAATCATATATATCATTTGAACTGTGTTATCATTCAATTAAAAGTTGTTCATAATAGCCAATTCTTAAGTATTTAGAGCTATTTCCATGCCTGTGAATACCTCTGCTCTTTTTTCACCTTTCCCTTCTTCAGGTGTCAGATAATTATTGACGTAAGCTGTGTACTAAGATTTCAAATACAGAGAGAAAGCAATTATCTATAATTCATGCAAACCTACAACAAATGAAAGGTAATTTAGGTATTTAACTACTGTGTAAATATATCATACAGAAAGATTTCACTTGATACAAACATTTCTACATTTTTGAAACTATCCACAATACCTGGTAAGAAAATGACATAATCAATAAAAATAAATGCAACTAACCCAGGATTGATTCGTCAGAGATCTATAGAGAATAAGAAAGGTTTCCTCACACTGAAGTAACACAATTACCTTATGTACTGTCTGTTTTCAGTCTTCAATTCTCAAATGAAATCTACCACAACCCAGACACAAGTTATGAAATTACTTCTCCAGAACTAGTTATTTTACTTACTACTTTCAAAAGGGAAGTCAAAGTCTGAACAATTTGATTAAAATTCTGGATACTTGGTATTCATTGATCACTACATAGCCTGTAGGACAAATACAAGGCAGCAATCGTTTAAGATATGTATATTCATAAGACTGCACAATTCAAAATACAATGTTAAAAGAACTAGCTGTGCAACTGTAGCTTTAACCGACAATAGATATATCTCTGACATATGTAAAATAATGCACAACATGTGCAGTTCTTAATACCCTGAACCATACTACATCCATTAATATTGTCTGAGGATGATTGTAAATGTGTCAATATTGTGTAACAATAGTCTACTATATTCACTTGTAATAAAAATGCCATTGTCTTTTGGTAGGTATATATAGACTAGACAAAGATAATAAATATAAGTACAAATGTTTACAGGTTTATATCTACATGATGCACACAGAGATATAAACCAGTGTTTATATTATTTCAGGGCCTTTCTCTGTATGTAACCCTAGAGTATAACTTTCAGTTCCTAGATTTTGGTGATATGTGGTTAGTCATATTTAATTTCACTGTAACAGTAATATATGTGATGAATTATTTTATCAAATAACACACAGATCACACTAAGCACAGGATCTTTTTCCCTACACAGACAATAGTAATTTTTATAGTATATTTATGACAATAAATATATATGGGGGTATTTTTCCAGGGTAAAATTTCGATATTTTTAAACATCTTTAATCATTTCATTAAGTTGCTAGTATTTATTCTCTATACTTTCTATATTGTTAAAGAGTTTTGCTTGATTTT